TGGTATCATAATCCCATGAGTATTCAGGGATCTAAACATATTTAATTTAACAATTACGACTAATATGAATTATAATCTCAGATCACGTCTGGTGTAGATTTGTTTAATAATGTGGTCATATGTTTCCAGATTTAAAACACAATTATGAAAATCAGGTCCTATGCCTTTGAAGTCGGTGGTTAGTTCTACACTTTTCCTCCCTTTAATCCCCTTTCAAACATTTCTTTACTAAAATGAAATTGAAATTGATCTCCTTTTCAAGCAAAATCCTAAAGAGAATACTCTTGACTTAAAAAAAATCAAAATATATTTCATTAGATTATTAGATGTCCTTCTTTATAGTTCACACAGCAAGGTAGACTTGGTATTATAAAAATTAAAGTATTTTCACATATTTTTGCAATTGTCAAGTATCTCAATTTCGCTTCCACCAAAATATTAATAGCAGATCAATTTCTTTATAAATACTCTTATCTGGAGAAGCAGGTAGCCTAAGACTCAGTTAAAAACATTACAATGCCCTAAACATACCAGTGACTTGAACATGCCTAATTTGAAATATAATTGTTGTGATTTTCAGTTAAGGTTTAGATCTTGGAAGAACCCTGATATTTTAAAACAATCAGCAGTAATGAATTTCTATTTTCTGTCCATAAAAACAACAGTGTTTTCTTCGTGGATCTCATGTAGTTCTGGCTCCCTTCACTAATTTACCATGGTCCTTTAAAACTGCTCACACTCCCTGTGACATTTATTGTTATCATGAACTGCACACAATTCAGGATCTAAAGGAAAGCTTTAAACCCATCGTGCTGGGTTTCCAGAAGTTAGACTCCGTTCAGCTCTGCGCACCTTCTGAGTGCAGTGGGATGGTGCCCTACCTTACCCTCCAGTGTCTGAGTCAATTCTTTTCATATTTTCAAGTCTTCTCAACTACATACTGATACAACTACATGCAGATCATTTTTTTACCTTAAAGATTAATCCTGCCCTAGTCTCTCAAATATGGTACAGAGAACAACAGTAGACAGACTGGAAGGTAGTCCTGGGTAGGTTGCAGTTTGAGGAAATATATATAAATTTTTCAAATAATAGTTGAAGTATGTTAAGCTTGCTCATACAGTAGGATTTGTGCGAGATCATATAGGTGGTTCCAAATGGGTGCTGTCTCAAATGCATCCTGTCACAGATATGGATTGGCTGGACCTACTGACATATGTTTTGGGAATTCAGTGTTCTAGAGTTCTCTGGCTGCACGTAATTTTTACACTGTCATATCTAACTGGTTTGATCACACCAATAAGCCCCAGACTGTTCCTATTCAATGACAATCCCCAGACTGCTGTCATCTTTCACATACAATGTCTTGATCTCAGGGGCATTACTAGTTTAACAAATCTTGCGGGACTTGTGACAAATGAGACCCCTCCTTCACTTATATGATTGCATTCATTTTAAGATGATTTACTTAAAGGGGAACATACACAATGTATTCAAATAGACCGTTTTCCTTTATTATTTATTTTCTATTTATTATTTCTCTTCATTTTTGTTTTGAGATCTTTTTCTTCCTTTCTTTCTCTGTTTCCATTGGCATCTGTGCTACTTCATATACTGTATTTGCCAAAAATGCTTGCCAACAGATGCAAACCTGTTTCAGTACCTACAGTACAATTTCTGCTATTGTACACCATACTTTCCTTTACAAGCCTTTATTGTATGAATGAATTCTTGAGGCATGTTGAGAGAGTACGCAGAAGCATAACTTTATCACCATATAAATAAAGCCAGAAAAAATACAGATGTTGATGAAGTGTAAGTTAAAATTTAATTGAGAATTTAGAAAAACTGTACGTTTAATCTAGTAAACAACCACCTTCTGAAATAATTAGTAAGCAAAGCAGGTATAGCAATAAATACCAAGCTAGCAAATCAATATGCTGAAGCAAGCCAACACAAATCACAGATCTATTAATGTTTACCACAGTAAATTTTACAATGTATGTAATATACTGTACAGTATACGTGTATGTGCCTAATACAATTATATTGTTGTCTATATACACTAACAATGGGCCACCTGTACTTTACTACACCAGAGAAACTCAGACAGTGACCCTCCTCAGGGTCAAAGCAAAAGTGTATTTTACTCGCAATAAAGCAAAGGTCCCTTATGATTTTGCAGTTTTCTTTTGTTCTGCATTTCTGTGGTTGTCTGTCAGTTTAAGGATCACTTGGCCCTTGACTTATTTTAGGCTGCCTTCCACTGTTTAGTATTAATAAGCAGCATTATTGAAAATAAATGTCAGAATTATTTCAACTGACAAAGAAAGTTACTGTTAATTTAGCTACCAAATGAATTAATTTGAAACATAATAGTGCTGCATATAGACTGTATAGAATCAGAAAATGCACAAAGCACACAGAATTATTTTCTACATCATGTACACATAGAAAGTGTACAGATTAGGAATAAACACTACTCCCATAATGAACAACTGGATTTTTTATTATTACCAAGCTAAATTAATCATTGGCATTCAACAGTTTTCTAACTGGGTAATTCCAACTATAGATGTTTCAATACCTAACATCTGTTATTAACAGTCATTTCCATAGCTATTTTTCAAAATTTCATTTTTTACAAGCATGTCACGAGCAATGTATTGTCTGTAAAAGTAGAAGTTTATTCTTGGTTTTGTCTAAAACTGAAACTGACAAATAGCAATTACCACTAAAAAGGTTTTCTTAATATGTGTAGTTTTAAATTCAACCCAACAAAAAAAAAAGATTACAGAAATAGGATAAAATAATACTAATCATTTCAGTGAATGTGACAATATCGCAAAATCCTGACCTGTGATGAAGGGCTCCCACATCACTTTCTACCCCATTATAGTAATTTCAACAAAAGCAAGCAAAATGCTCTCTTATTATTCAGTTGTTCACATGTTGAAATCTAGTTAAAGAAAATGGACTGGATGTCAAGAGAGTAACACTTTAAATAATAATAATTTGTAGCATCATTTTGCAAGGAGAAGAATTGCAATAAAATAAATCTAATGTTAAATATGTGTAAATAAGGCTTAAAAACAGTTATCCAAACAAGTCTCAGGAAAACATAAAATCTCTTTGAAATGTGTTTCCTGCTGTAACAAACAGAAAAAATCACAAAGTATACTGTATTCTGGTACCTCTCTGTTGCAAATATGGTTTTGAAAAATCTCTTCCCTTCCTACTTGTATACTATATAATTTTATTAGTTGCCCTCAATTACATTTTCAGATAATATGATTACTATGTAAATACATATAAACTGTTTTATGAATATGAAAACTCGTCACTTTTAAACTGTATTTAAATGTACAGTATCTGTTGGAGGGTATGGATCAGGACGTAACCTGTCATTATAGAACAGACTGATGCTATAGTGCTGTAACGTTGTGTTCACCACCAGTTCTGAACAAACTAAAATCACAGGTTCGAAAATTAAACTCCATTGATAGTAAACATAATTGCGTTCACATTCTTCATAGTTTGGCGACTAGATTCCGTAAGACAGGAATGTTGTCCTTCATCAAAGGCCCGCAATTACTGGTGGAAGCAAACGGGATTCCCACCTGTTGGCAGTCGTCTTTCAAGGCAATTGGTTACTTTAAAAGTGATCCAGATGTATCTTTCGAACAGACCTCGTGAAATAAGGAACAACCAAATTGTAGAGAATGAGAAACGATCTGGGCAGAAACATCCGCTTAGTTCCTGAATTTCAGCACCTTGGACAAGAGGACAGCGGTGCTTGAAGCCTTTCTAGGTAAAATATGTTAAAACCACTACGTTTTAAATCCGGCTGTGAGTATTTACAAATACGTTTTGCTAGTCACTTGTGAGTTTTAAGTGCCATTTTCTCTGGAGAGTACAGTAGTTGCTACAAGCAGCCGGGCGCCATGGTTTTTCAGCTATAAAGCAGTCAAATGTTATGCATACTCAGAAGGCACCTGTTGTTGTTTTATCATAAGCATTAAGGGCACAGAACATCCTAGTCAGTGGGTTTTCATTATATTAGCACTATTACGTTTTTTATTGTAAAACGTCGTGACAAATATAAACGAGTTCTAAACATTCGCATATAAAGAAGCAAGGAAAAACTTATGCAGAAATTGGCATCTTATGTCAGGCATACTGTATGACACATTAGGAGATAACAAGTACCTAAATAAACATTTTTCTTCCCATTATGCTGTCTGCAAATGGGTATTTCATAGAGTATCCTGCAAAGTTCCTAACATTTTTTAAATAATTAGAGGCTAAGGAGTAGAGTTTGATTCTTTTCCTAGCACTTTCCCAACAATCAGCAAAGGGATGGTTCAAAACCCTATTACTCAGGCGTTTCAATCCCTGGACGCACAAACAGACGGTTTTCTATTCAACATAAAATCCACAAGATAAAACGCGGCTTAAGGGTCTATTACATATTTCAGCCTTATCTCAGATAATATGCAATATGAACACTAACTTATTTTATTATTTGTTAAATACGTAATTTAGATACCCGAATAATACAAAATTGTATGTGGATGTTTTAAACGATTGGCTAAAAATACAGTTCATTATGTGTTTAAAATTTATAGGGATTCATTACACTGTACCCCGTTTTAATAACTTAAATTTACATAACTAACTTAATTGAGCATTTTTAAGTCCGTTTTCATTAGCGTATACCAGTCATTTCATTTTTCAATGATAAACACAAATGTATTAAAAGAGACTTAAGTTATACAAAAAAAAACTCCAGTCCTATTTTCAAGACAGTACACAAAATCGCATTGTCCAATGCAAAACTTTCATTTGGTGGTGTATTCAATGAATCAGATCTGTCAGCCATTATTATCTCTTCACCGAGTAAAACTTTATTTAGCCTACTACATCCAGGATTTAAAGAACTATTAACGGACCCAAATTTCACAGTCACACAAAAGCGTGGGAAAAATTGTAGTACTTACATGTGAAACTTCTTGATTTGCATTGCATCCAAAACAAACCTTATAGTTTATTTTAAATTTCCAAGGAGCGGTAGAAATACTCCAGAAATCGCCATGTCGATTATTCTTTCCTTGAAAAAATTCTGACCATCCTTAAAAAACTTGGTTTTCAAGTACGAGAATACTTTATATATTTTATGGACTTTTTTCACTATGTGCCACAAGCCTGAGATGGAGCTTAGATCTCTTAGAAACGTGAGTGAGAATTGTTAAATTCCTTTAATAGGGTACATTGCTAGATTTTGTGAAGATCCGATGAGCTGTTGCATTGATCTCCTATACCTCTGTTCTCCAGTTCTGATAGACTCTGACACATGCACTTAATAGTGCCTTTTCCAAACAGGCGTTGTCCCTTTCAGAGATCTCCTCCCAGTTTCCTTACAGCTGTTAATTGAGACCAAGAGCGGAAGAAATAAGCAGAACAATTTGTTAAAAGCGCTTGCTCAAGAGCGACTCAGAAAATCCGCTCGTCCTCTACAACACCCTTTACGAAAAAGCATCCAAACCTTTTGATTGTCCTTGAGCCGCGAAGTGAGGAAGTCAGATGTTCTGAGGTAACGCCTCCTCCCGCCACAGTTGAACTGTTCTAGCCTTTGAATTGGAAAATAAAAATTTGTTGTTCGTTGTTCTTATATTTGAACAAATACTTTATACGTATTTTTCAGAAGAATTATCTCACGATCACAAGAGAAGGAAATAGGAAGGGCAGAAAGGGACTCTTGATCATGCAACATGATTTGTGAAAACTCTTCTTGATTGTGAAAGCCCCTAATCCGAACTGGCTTTAAATGATTGTCACACGAACAGCTGCTTTTAGAAAAGGGCATTACTGTTGGCTGCAGTGTTTAATTTAGTTAAGATATATGCTTTTGAGGTTAGTGTTGACATTAACTATCCGCAACACCTATCTGGACGCTACAGTATCGCTATATGCACGGAGCGCGAATTAGGAAGAAAAGTAAAGTAAATTACAGTTTTCCTAAAATTTTACTACTCGAGCATTTGGATTGAATATTTCCATTAAAAGCATAATTAATCCTTATCACACTTACATGTTAAAGAGTAAATCTAAACGATATTTAATAATATGCGTAGTAGTGTATTTGTATTGTTTGTAAACTGAATTCCCAGATGTGAAAAGCTACACCTCTGCGAATGTGACAAAATCAATATTTTGTATCTCAAATGTGTTTACATTAACTGTTTCTTTTTCTTTCTTTTGTTTCTCCTATTGCCAAATTGTTTACGAGCTGTAAATGTCAACACGTTACGTTGTAGGACCTATAGAGATCTGATATATAATTACATTACTGTACTGCATTCCAAACCTGAGCTCATAGCTCCCTCTGCTGGTACAAAATACATTTTGTTTATTTTATTATAATATGGCTAATGTAACAATCAGATACAATGTGTATCAGATACAAAAACGCAATCGGCACCTGTTGTACCACATATGGGGTGCCTATCCTTATCAGCCAACCCATTGGGACTGTGTTGCTAGCACGAACTGAGAGACCTCTTGCTCGAAGGAATTGTTTTATCAGGTGATCAGGTAATTCCAGGGTGACTACTACACTTTTTATTTCTCATACTTTTATTTTAAATATTTGCACGTCACTTCTGATTTTTTTTATTTTTTATTGTTGTTGTTGTTGTTGTTGTTGTTGTTGTTGTTGTTGTTGTTGTCGACATAGTTGTAGGACTGTAAAACCCATGAAGAGATCAAAGTATGCATCATGAGTTTGAAAAATTAGACAATTTATTTTAAAATATATACAAAATTATGAATACCCTGTAAGAATAGAGTAGGTTAGATAAATAAGACTTTATTGATCCCGAAGGGAAATTGATGAAAGAAAGACAAGCCAGGCAGGAGTTGAACCTACAATCTTCTGATCTGTAGTCAGACACATTAACTAATGCGCCACTGACCCTGCTACAGGTAAATATAATCACTTTTAAAAAAAATGCAGGAATAAATGACAAAAGCATTTGAGATTTGGATTGTGACCAATGCTACTAGTACTGCATCCATAAGATACAGACAAAAATGGTTTTCTCTTTATTCCCGAACAATGGACCTACAGTACACTCAGAACCTAAGCCTCCAGGAAGAGCTACACTGGGCATGAAGTGCAAACAATGACAATCAGAGACGTTATCTTACAGCAGTTCTCCTGGAGCAGATGCAAGCACCTGCAAAAGTTAAAGCTACTTGCAGACAGCAATCCAAACAAATTAGGGGGGATAAATAATCCAAACTTCTAAACATGACCATTTCATCTTTTTTTTCTACCAGCTATTTTGATAAACCAGAGTCCTGGTTCTAATCCAAAACGCCTCAAGGGCTTTTTCAGCAGGTCTTGTTGACAGGAGGTCTCCTTGGACACTTCTCATTTGTTGAGATGCATTCCAGTATTTCCGTTATCCAGTGATACGTGATATTTGATACCCCACTCGTTTCATCCGGTGTCTGGCCATTTTAGTCTCGTCGCTCTTGCACTGGTCCACACTGTCTCTCATGTGTACCTGAGCATACATGTGCCTTATTTTGGGCCTCTGCAATGTCCATATACAGTACGTTTCATCGTCCATGTAAATGCAGTGTGTGTTTAACGTGTAACGGGTTTAATTGCAGTTTTGTTAATTTCACGCAAAACCCCTCCTCCGTTCTGAAGTTTCGTTCAATGTGATGTGTAAAAATAATGAAAAAATGTTTTGAAGTGTTTTTTTATTTATCATGTTTACTTTTTTTTGTTTTGCAGTAATATAATCGCAGCGTTTTGCGCCTTTGCTCTACACTCGGCGTTAACAGCTCTGAACCGGCGGGGGCGAAGGTTCATTTTTTCCTTTTGTTCAGAGCGCAAAGAAGGTTCATTTTTTCCTTTTGTTTGTTATTTGTTTGATGAGAACAAATAAAACGACTTCGTTTGGCTGCATTCGCATCATCCAGGTGGGGCTACACATTGATGGTGAAGGGGAGTCCCCATTACCTGTAAAGCGCTTTGAGTGGAGTGACCAGAAAAACGCTATATAAGTGTAAGGATATCATTATTATCAACTGGCACACTGTTTCTAGATTCATTTCCGCATATCACAACGCAGAGTGGTAGCCTTGCGAGAAGCAAAACTAGCAAGGCCCGGCTTTACATTGCAGTTAGCACTGCTGCTGCCTTACAGCTTCCGAGTCTTGGGTTTGATTCCAGCCTTAGATGTACTTTTGTAACAGGACTTATAACGGGCTTTGCACGTTATACTGTGATCGTGCAGTTTTTCCCCAGGTGGTCGGGCGGTTTGCACCAATTTACATATGTTGTGTGTTGATTAGGCTTTGCTGTAGCCCTTGACAGGACAAGGGGCTTTCAGTTCATGGATGAATGTCACTACAGATAATACATACATAGGGATTGCCAGAAGTTCAGTCTCCAATGAAAACTAAAGAGAAAGTAGAAAAAGCGATGTTTTGGCTGAGGAGGAAGGAGGAATGCGGGAGAAAGCAGGACAACGAGGCAAAGAAGTGTGTGAGGGAGTGAGAGGTGGATTTGAGAAAAAGCTGCCCATTAAGGAGAAAAGTTAAGTAAAGTGGGACACATCTTGGCTGACTGAATGTTTGTCACCCAGTTGGTGTTGGGGGAGAGGAGCAAATAGGATAGGCTCTGTATAAAAGTGATCACTTCCCTGGGATGCCAATCATTCAATCTCCCCATCTTTTCTCCTTAATCAGTGTCTTTCTCTCAAAGCCACCTCTCACTCCCCTACAGAGTAGGTGAGGAGCCTCATGGTCCTGGGTTGATACCAGTCCCAGGTGTCTGTGCATCTGGGATTTGCACATTATTCCATGATATGGCTTTCTCCAATAAGTTTCATCAGTGTCTGTGATTCATCCCTCTCTCTGTGGACCTGAGCTGGACTGGCATGGACAGCATGGAAACTAGTTTCTATGCAACTCGTGCACTGATACAGCTCCCCATTCTAGTACAAGCATACTGTAAGCTGCATACACAAACGTTTTTGTAAGGCAGGGAAACTGTTTGCATCCTGCCCTGGTTTTCTGTTATGTTTATGTAGGTTGTGGAATTCACAAAGTAGGTGATATGAGATATGGGCACAAATCATTTTTAAAGAATGTATTAGCAAAGGAATGGAAATGGAAAAATGCCAACGTATTACTTGTAGAAAACAAAGGAGATAAACAAGATCTCAAGGACCACGATTTAATGTGCATACTGTCTGTAATAATTCAACTTTTCATTAAGGTGCAAATGGACAGCTGAATGAAAGAACAAGAAGGGCTTAGAAGCAGATTTCAAACCATGGACAATCTGCAAGCAGTAGTAGTATAATGATGAAGTCTTTTCATAAATAAACATATGTTCATAATACAGAGTAGCATCTTCAAGATGTTTTGTTTACAGATGTGTTGATCTACCTTCAAGTTAACACTTTTCCATCCCTAAAGTTGATCACACGTCCTTGTTTTGTGCTTCACTGATGTGCAGTGCTAGATTAAGATAAGTTTCCAGCTTTAATTAATGTAATTTCACAAATCATTCAACAGCAAACATAAATACTTAAAATGCAGCTCTGTTTCTCCATTATTTTCAGATTGGTTTAAATATAAGAAAAATAAACTATGCCTATCCCCTATACATCCCAGCCAACTTGTGTATCGACATCAAACTTGTATCTTTTTAAATTAAACAAGAGGTCACATTTGGGTTTGAAAACTTGAAACAGCAATTTATGATCAAGTTATAAAAAAATATTATTTTTACAAGATTCAATAGAAATTCCATTTAATCATAATCTTTCCATAACGCTATTGAAATAATACACAAAACAACCATTTCAACTTTTTATTTGACCTGTTTACATTAAAAATATTAAAAATTATGTAATAAACTTGAACAAATATTTAGCCAAATCTATTTTAAAATGTAATTTACATTTCAGTAGTGTTTTAAAGTTTGTCCAATAAATGTCTTAATCCACCTGAGACCAAAGTTTTTATGTACATTAGCTGTAAAGGAGTGGGCTTGTGGTGATGGATGAATTGTAATGTGGACCTCCTTCAGATGAAGAGAGGAAAAGCATGAATGCAGGAAAGTGCTATATATACAGTAATATTGACAGATGTGACACTGCTTGGACATAACCTCATCTGGTATAGCTTGGCATTCTAAGTTCTAATATGCAAGATCATATTGTAACAGATGATGTAGCAGCAATCCATGGTGCATAGTTTTATCCCATCTTTTCTGTAAGCTGCTTTGTGTGCAAAAGTATTACTTATTAAGAGGCTGATGAAAGTACAGGCTGGGCTGGCCATCCCAAATCTTCTTCCTACTAAAATGTCATGAATAGAGTGAGCCAGGCCAGGAAATCCAGAAGTCTGCCTGCGTTTTTTCATGGATGGAGATCATTACAATCATTACACATTTACATTCTAAAAATGTATTTTGCTTTGAATTCAGTAAAATGCTTTACTGGAAATTTAAGTCTTTTT